CTATTTCACAAGCTAAATAACTGTTTAAAATTTTTAATTTAATCCCAAACGCAATCCTCATGGAATTTATCTGTTATTTTACACTTAGTATTCATCAAGCTGTGGAGGCTGATTCCCCACATTCTAGTGAACTTGCTAGTGGCTCAGGAAAGGGTAGCAGTAGATCAGTTATAGAAAGAGGAAAGACTGTGTCAACAAATGGGGCCAGTTGCAGCAAAGATCATAGTCGACTTGATTCGGATAGAACTGCCATTGTTGTCGACCTTACTCATTCAGATGACGAAACTGCCTCTCCTGTTGTTTCTACCCCTGCTGTATCTATGACAGCTCCTGTAACTACTGTTCTTTCCAGGTGAGTATTTTGCCTCCAATTTTGCAATTGTAGATTATTCACTGATTTAGAAGGAAAAAATTCTGTTAATGTGTTTGATCACATTATCTACAGGGGGACAGAGAAGGAGGTGAAAGCTGATGAAACAAAAGCAAATGGTTTACAGTGTCTAATCTAAGGTCATCGGCTAAGTGCTTACAGTAGTCACCCTTTTGATATGGTTATAAATGGATGTTCATTTTGAGTGTTTCAAGACTTCAGAAGCTTTTTTTTTGTCACATTTGTGTTTTGGTAACATTGGTGAAATTTTATTTTATATCATTTTAACTTATTTTTAATACATTATTCTACCTTTCTATTAATAGAGGCTACACCAATTCATTATCATTTAAATATAGGAAAGTACAAGCAAAATAAATTAGCATGAATACCCCATACTTACCCTGCTAGTAATAGGCTTGTCACCACAGAAAATCCTCTAGCATACTCTTGTGTAGGGATTGTAAGGCACAGCATGTGACAAAGACAGCTATTTGTAATCAAGATGCTGTGGGGAAAAGGGCTCTCAGACCTACAGAAAAGAAAATTCATTAGATGCAATGTTGGTGGCATAATTGTTCAGTACATTTTTGTTCAAATATTCATAATTAGATCCACCATTCTTAATTTGCTGATAAAAGGAAAACCTACTAGCTTTATCTTAATGTGCTGATAAAAGGAAAAACCTACTAGCTTTATCTTAATGTGCTGATAAAAGGAAAAACCTACTAGCTTTATCTTAATGTGCTGATAAAAGGAAAAACCTACTAGCTTTATCTTAATGTGCTGATAAAAGGAAAACCTACTAGCTTTATCTTAATGTGCTGATAAAAGGAAAAACCTACTAGCTTTAAGACCAACTAAAATTTATCACTTTTTGAACCATTACTGACTTTGAAATGTATTGTTAAAATCAATCGCATATATGGTTTTAAATCCATCATATAGGATTTTAATGGCAGTTTAGGTTTGTGGGCCAGGAGATCACTGCTGTTCTTAGTCCCTCGTGCCTCTGGAGGAGGGCAGCATCTGAATCTTGCTACTCTTCGTATGCTTGGAACGGATGAATAATATCGTGGAGTCGGTCAGTTTTAGCTAGTTTTGACTTGTTCCACATATAATAGTTAAGAGAGCCTTGATTTCTTATCATCTTATGACATTATAGACAGTGCTGCACTGCTTGCATTAATAGAGCTGTCTGTGTAGGGAAACATAGCATGATAATGTACCACTTTATACCACATGCTGTGCCTAACTCTGATTTAAACCAAATAATTTTATGAATATGACTGGACCAACCTGAGCTCTGATCCAGTTGAACCTAGTTTTCAACAGGGGTAACAGATTATTTCATCAATGTTATTGACAAGTTTTAGCAACACAGTCCAGTCTGTGGTTAATACCATATTAGTCTATTAAAATGAAAGCCATTAATAAAACATAACACTCCCTCTTTTAAGAGGTTCTTTATCAATACTTGGCAATATACAATACATTAAAAGTCAGAAATCAGGGTATTTATAATTGCTTTTATTTTTGCTAAGGTTAAATATTTGTATAAACTGTGCATCAGCATTATTAAAATTGTTTAACCGTTTCGAGGCGGGTCAGGGGTGAAAGGCCATGTCATCTTGTTTGTTGACTTGCAATCGAAATTTTATTGACCTACTATTTCGTGTCTTTTTGTCAATTACTTTGGTATCAAACTGTAGATTATAATTCAAATTTTAGTGCTATATATTACTCAATTTCTTAATTTGAAAGTAAATATTAAAAAAAACTAGTTAAACATTGATTTTTGTGTGTCACGTGGTATGTTGAATGCAGCACTGGTACAAATTAGATGTTTGTGATGTAAAAGTACTAAGTATAGTTTCATATGAATTAAAAACTCAAATTACTGATATTGACAAGCTAGAATATAAAATAAGAACATCTTATTTTTTCTATATGGTAAGATATTGCTCATGTAATGAATCAAACACAGTGGAACCCCGCCCACCTCTTTCCATTTTTGGAAACTCTCCCTTATACTTACTTCTATGACATGAGTAACCAATCGGAAGCTCAGAATGCTTTAGTCT